AGTGTGATTGACAGATCATGAGTGGAAAAACACAGAACATGAAGACATGATCACACAATATATGCTGACCTCAATAAATGATCTTTGATCATAAATAAACCATAAAAACTGTGAGAGTGTGTGTTTCTGTCTGCTAGGAGTCATATTTATATGAGACAGATTCATGCAGTTAGAGGAGAGCCCCCCCAACACACTCACTCACACACACACACACACGCACACACACACGCACACTCACTCACTCACACACACACAATCACTACACACACTCACACACACACACACTCACAATCACGATCAAGTGTGTCTCCTCTGAGCTTCTGAATATCTGCTATCAATCTAGTCAGTCAACAGAAGAGCTGTTTTCAGATTGTGGTGGGTTTATAAAGTAACACACCCAGAAACAGCTGGTTTAAATCTGACCTGCAGGATTCAGACAGACAGACAGACAGACAGACAGACAGACAGACAGACAGCAGCAGGGAGTGTTCACTAGTAAGGGAGCTGATCATGTGTTTGAGAAGAAAGTTCTTTAGACGACTTTCACTTCAGATGCTTTTAAATCTCTAAAACTGTAGTGAATCAAATTAAACTGCTGTGGAAATGTGTTCTGTAACAAAATGCAGATTAGATTTATGAATAAATAGAACAATAAATATTTTTGTACTTATATCTGTCTATCTGTCAGGCAACACAATGTCTTACAGTAAACCCCTCCACATCTCACTGTATCTCAGTGGCGAGCAGAGCTGTATTTACAGTGAGGATGATGAGGGTCAAAGAAGCTCCTGATTACAGAGGCTTTTGCTTAGACATCATTACACAGTCACTAGTTAAGCTCAGAAACACAGTGAGGTGTAACTGCTGCGTAAACACTTTTACACCGTTACCATGGTGATCAAACAAGCACTGTAACAGCTTTAACTCTTTCAACTACTGAAGACGATCGTTTAATGTTACAATGTAACAGCTGCGAAACGAGCGTGAAGCACATGAAGTGATTGTGCTGATAAAGATCATCCGCCACATTTACTGTACATACAGCTGAAGGCAGGTTTACTGTAACGTTACTACATTACTCGTTAACAAAGAATCCCGCCTCCAGGCAGAGCTGCTAGTCTGTGACTGCGGTGACGGACAAACAGTGGAAACAACCTGCTGCTCAACTTCTGCAAACTCTCGGAAAGTGACGCACCTGTGAAGCCCAAGAGCGAGATCCAGCATCTGAGGAGAGAGAGCGCTTCAAACCGCGCTGTTCTGCGAGCCATCGCCGAGTCTCTGCCGTGTTTCTAAGCTCCTGTTTTTCTGAACTTCGTGCTTGCTCTGCGTCTCCGCCCCCCGGAGCCCTCACGCGTTACCGACGACACATCTGACCCTGGAGCGCAGGACCAGTCAGCAGGGTCAGTTTTCTGAAATTGAGATGTATACATCAGCTGAAGCTGAATAAATAAGAATCCGTGTATCATTCGATCATTCGTTTTTTGATTTAATATTGAAAGTAGAAAAATTTGAAAACTGATCCTTTTTCGTTTTTTGTTTTTTTCCAAAAAAACAAAAACGAGAATTCAGCTTAAATTTTCGTTTTTCGTTCATAGGTGGAAAAATGAATAAACAGTTTGAATATTTGATTTCTACACGTGGGCGGGAATTAAACGCCCCTTTCTGCTGATTGGTCAGCCGCAGATCAAACCATGCAGTCATCAGTTCTTCTGCAGTACCATGCAGCAGAATAATAGTCCTCCGCTGCTGCAGGTGTACGGATTAATAACCCATTTTATCAATTTCATATTTTTCTCATCAAACAGACTAATGAATAGCTCGTCTAATGACAGAGTATTAAGTCCCCTTGATGGGGAGAAAATCCAAGTGAACATCAATCAGTACTCAATATTAATTTAAACTGCTTTAAATATGACTGCTGCTTATTTTCTGTGCACTTCAGTACTGGTCTGCGCTTGACTGTAGTCGCGTCTGTCAGCTTATTGAGTTTATTTAACCCGTCGCAATTTCGCAACATCGCAATGTCCTGCTCGGGCTTGCCAATTTAATGGCAGAGAATAGTGACTTTAGTTGTTGTTTTTTTTAACCGGATACATATCTGTCATAAAATAATCCTATGCATCTCGTGCCGTATATTCCAAGCATTCTGAAGGTATTCTGAGGGTTTGGTGAGAAAAAAACGAAATGGCAAGTTATTATATTTTATGAAAATTTTGCGTAGCAGCTCACGCTGCGCACAAGTGCATATCCTTTTGAGATATCAATTATAATCAATTTGAATAAAACACAAGATTACATTATATAACTCTAACAGTAGGCTATATTTAATATCTGTTGTTCTCCGGTTGTCAGTCAAAATGACAGTTCTTGCAACATAGGCCTATATACTCTATACCCAAGCCAATTTATTATTCTTTCCTTTCTTTCTTAGTGTTTAAAATATTTATTTTGAAACGAATTAATTAATTTCTTAATTAAACAAACAGACTTACTGGGTGAGCAGGGTAGGCTAAGACAGCTGACATATCATACCCTGTCATGCCCAGCTGATGCAAAGAATAGAATTTATTTCTACACAGAAGAAAGCCCTGCCTAGACTCTGCCCCAGTATGAGTTGTGTCGAGCTATTCATTAGCCTGTTTGTTTGGTGAAAAAAGATTAAATGTAGTTGCAGTAAATGCGTTAAGAATCCATACACCTGCAGCAGCGGAGGACTATTATTCTGCTGCATGATACTGCAGAAGAACTGATGACGGCACGGTTTGATCTGCGGCTGACCAATCAGCAGAAAGGGGCGTTTAATTCCCGCCCACATGTAGAAATCAAATATTCAAGCTGCTTATTCATTTTTCCAGCCCTGAACGAAAAACGTTTTTTGGAAAAAAACGGAAAAACGAAAAAGGAGCCGTTTTCAAATTTTTCTACTTTCAATATTAAATCAAAAAATGAATGATCGAATGATACACGGATTAATAAGCTTTCCATTGATGTATGGTTTGTTAGGATCGGACAATATTTGAAAATCTGGAATCTGAGGGTGCAAAAAAATCTAAATATTGAGAAAATCATCTTTAAAGTTGTTCAAATGAAGTTCTTAGCAATGCATATTACTAATCAAACATTAAGTTTTGATATATTTACGGTAGGAGATTTACTAAATATCTTCATGGAACATAATCTTAATATCCTAAAGATTTTTGTCATAAAAGAGAAATGTATAATTGTGACCCATACAATGTATTGTTGGCTATTGCTACAAATATCCCCCAGCGACTCAACACTGCTTCTGTGCTGCAGGGTCACAGATGAGGAGTTTCAGCAACATTATTACACACATTCATCATTTCATTATTTAATAACCCTGTTCTCTGGAAATACTCGTCAGAAGTATACAAAGCCTAAGCAATAAACCTCTATGAGAAAATTCAACCCTTATTTAATGTTTCAGTTTTCCTGCACAGCTTTTACAAACAGCAAACCCTTTAAAATGTTAACGATCATCGTGTTTCTCTAAATATCAATTCAAGTAAGTTTGAAGTTTGATATTGGACTGTATCAATAACGACTTCGCCCTCTAGTGTTTCTATCAGGTGTAGCAGCTCATCAAATAATGCCTTTATTACATTTACGTGTTAATCACTAGACAAAATATATTTTTAGAATTTAAGAATATAACTAATAATCAATGGATCAGTTAATGAATCAGTCAATCGATAAGAATGTTTAGAAGCGGTTCAGTTACAAATACATTCCGTTACAGTTTGTTACAGTGTGTGACAACAAGCCCCGCTCTCTTACATCCAGCATGATCTTCTCTAGGTTGAACAAAACATTTCTGTCATATACAGGTGAATATGTTTTCCTTGACATGATTCAACTTTAATGTTTAAGAATAATTATATTTAATTACATCCTAGCTGAAAATGGCCAGGTGCAAAACTCACAGATTGACGTCATCAAGAGCAACAGGACCACTTTTAACAATGAATCATAATGAAGAGAGAAGTGGTTGGACAATAGATGACCAGCGCTGAGGGCCAAATGTGTTATAGTTAGGAAACTAACCACCGCAGTTCAGCTTCACTCGGTCACAGTTTTAAACAGAAGCTTGAATGTTAAACAACTGAATCAGGAACTTCAGTGAAACCTATTTGTCCTCCAACAGAAGACTTTTGCATCAATGTTTTATTCTGAAACCATACAAAAACAAATGAAACTGAAATGAACTGATTCACATATACTTACTCCTATAAATGCAGTTAAGAAGACACGAGTTTAGAAAAATCCCACATGAAACATGTCAACAAAAATCTGAAAAATAAAGTAAATATGAGACGAGGCTCTTTTGAACATAGACGTGAATACAGCTACGGCTTTTCACAATACAAGTGAACAGCAGTAAAATCAAAGCAAACCAACCCCATCATCCCGCTTACACACCGTTATAAGAGTATTTCACATTAAAAAATATAAACGCATTAGAGACTAAATGGCCACGACACTGAAGTGTGTCAGTGGTAGATTTATTAAAGCCCTTTTAGGTTATGTTCACACTTGGAGTCTTTTTTGAAGCCGCCAGCATCTTACATTATAAAGCGGAGAGTTCCGGTGCTTGGCTCTGATTGGCTGAGCCGCGTTCGAAGCTGTTGTAAATGACGCTACAAAGTAACACACACCTTTGTTTACGTTTGTGTGTTGCTCGGCAACCACTTTGTAGCAACCACAACTGTTTCTGAGGAGCTACATTGTTTGGTGGAAGAATACTGTGTTTATTAATATCATTACACTTTATTTGCTCCGTTTTATTTTGTGAAACCTTACTACGTATATGAAATAACCGTTTTATAAAAGCAATAACCCCCGTGAAGCCGTGGTTTACAGTGAATTAACCTAACAACGCCCCTTAGCTGTTATAAATTCACTGTAAACCACGGCTTCACGGGGATTATTGCTTTATTTCACACGGGAATAAGCCGTGTTTTCAAAAAAGTCCTGAGTGCTTTTTAAAATGCCACTGTTGGCGTCTTTTTCCGCAGCTCTTTTCAAGTTGAAAGAAGTTAAAATTTTCTGAAAAAAACGGCCTACATCAAGTGCCTTTTTGACAGCTGACCAATGAGAAGCCAGCAGCGAGTCGTTTCCATAACAACAAAAACAACAAGAAGAAATGGAGAAGATAGCCGGTAGATAGATGGCACTAGCTTTGGAGCACAAGGAGTTGTACGATGTGAGCACAAAACTCTGTCTAGTCTAAAATATTCTGCAAACCGTGCATCATCCAACCGGAGCTCCCGGACTAAATTGTTGTAAGCACCATACGTATCCTTCCCCGTATAATGTCCCGCACACACAAACGTCATTGTGAACCGACATTCTCCTCCTTCAAAACTTCAAAAGCCAACGCAAGAGCCGACTGTTTTCTCTACATTTCTGCAGCACAGCACTAGGCTACTGTTGTTAAAACGCTACCAGCTTTTTATTTTACTATAAAGCGCTCTTGTCAACTTTTTCTTGTCAAAAAAGACGCCAAGTGTGAACATGCCCTTATTCGGTCAAATCTCATATCTAGCATATGAGACACAAAAACTATTAGTTTTTTAGTAAGTGGATTAGTTGTCCATTTTCTCTAGTTTCTGCGTATTTCTGAGGATCGACTCCGCGTCTGCTGAACTCAGTTCCTCGGTTCTTTGGGTTTATTCGGTGGAATGCTGGGCGGTCTGTCGCGACTGTCGTAGCGGTCGCTGTCGTAGCGGTCGCTGTCGTAGCGGTCTCTGCGATCATCATGACGGTCTCTGCGATCGTCGTAGTGGTCGCGACGGTCATCGTAGCGGTCTCTGCGATCATCATAACGTTCTCTGCCATTGTCGCGGCGGTCGTCTCTGTCGTACCTCTCGCGCCGGTCACTGCGATCGTCTCGTCTGTCGGTGTAGTGATCTCTTCGGTCGTCGTAGTCGCTGCGGCGATCGTAGCTCCTCTCGCTGCGGTCGTCAGGCAGATCGAGTCTGTCTGCGCTTTTCACGCGACGCTCTTCCTCGTAGTTCACGTGTTCGTCGCGGTCGTCCTCTTTCTCTACAGGGTCCTTGTCTGTGAACTCTCCTCCTTCAGGAGTCCTGCGAACACAGAGGAATAAAGCTGAGCGGACGCCCACAGCGAGCTGTGCGAGATGTGTTTCTCACGTACCCCATTGCGTATTCCTCAGCCTTTTCCCTCCGGCGACGGCAGTAGCAGCAGCAGCAGATGATGATTCCCACAAAAACAGCCACGCCAACAACGCCCCCGATGATCCCCGCCGTGGAGGCCATGTTCAAGGACGCTAGAGGACAAGAGACGGTTGGGTTAGTCGTGACCAGGGTTGGGCAGTAACTAGTTACTAGTAATAATATTACTTTGAGCAGTAACTAGTAGGGTAAATAAATACTAATAAGATTTCAGGGTTACACTTTATTGTCTTTGGCGTCTTTGTTACAGTGTAGTTATATATTTAAATACTTTGTAATATTAATGAACTACATGTACTTACTATATGGTTAGGATTAAGGTTCGGCTTAGGGTTACTTGCATGCAATTATGCATAATCAATTGTTATTACAAGAGTAAATACATGTAACGCCTTAAACTAAAGTGTAATAATATTACAGTTGCCATCCATAAAACAGCTCGCCCACTGATTTGAAGTCCAACAATGCAATATTTCCTAGATTTATTTTCAGAATTTTCACGACTCGTGAACGCATGAAGCACCAGTGCAGCAGGCAAGATGGGAAGATTCAGATAAAATTCATCATAAGATATAATCATATATGGGTAACAGAAATTATAGCTACAATTAGCTTCAAGCTACACATGACAATTAATGAGGTTAATACAACACTTTTATTTAAACGTCACTATCAATCACCACTGAGTGTTTGTAATAACTTCTGACTGCGATCCAGTGTGGATTTTGGCCAAATGATTAGACAGAAATAGTAAAATTTCAGAAGAATTGTTTGGGTAAGATACGCAATTACAATTTATGTTGGTCGTGCAGCAAAAGTAATGTAACTAGTAGTGTAACTAATTACTGTTGCCAGAAAGTAATAAGTAAAGTAATAATGTTACTTTTGAAAGGAGTAGCTAGTAACGAGTAATAAATTAAATGTTTTGAGTAACGAGCCCAACACTGGTCATGACTATAGGTTACGACAGATCGATCAGTTCTTAGTTTCTTACGCGGATCGACGCGCAGGGTCACATTACACTTCGCAGATCTGATTTCGTTGGTGGATGTGCAGATGTAGTAGCCAGACGTGTCCATGGAAATATTGACAAGCGACAAAGCCCCGTTTTCTGAGGAGAGACACACACACACACACACACACACACACACTCATTATCGATGCAGGAGAAGAAGCTCTCAGCATGTGTCTGAGCAGCATCACACACACGCACGTTCAGAGGCCTTGAGTGGCAGCGGTCGAGGGATGTTATTGACGTTGTAGCTTTGCCATTTGTAGGTCGGTGTCGGCGTCCCCTCCTCCGAGCGGCAGCTCAGTTCGATGTTCTCGAAGTATTCTGCCTTCCCGACAACATTGCAGATGGGTTGTGATGGAGCCACTGGCACACAACAAGAACACACACGTCATCGTAGCATGCACATTTGGGACCGTGCTGGCAAAATGAGTGTGAATGCACACAGGCTGATTTTGAGCGAAACGCAAAAAAGTGAAAAAATTTAGATTTTAGTCGAATTTGAGGTTTTCACAAAAATTGGGTCATTAAGCCCTCGTCTAGCAATCCCAACTCCAAATAGGAATTAAACATCTACAATTATCTTTATTTGTACATTTTCTAAGAGGAGTACCTTTTCTCCCGCATAAAGGCACCTCTAAAAGCACGTGATCCCGACACATATACACAGAATTACAGTATTTAAGTTCACGCAAACATAATCTGTTGTCTTAAAGGGTTAGTTCACCCAAAATTAAAATTACCCCATGATTTACTCACCCTCAAGGCATCCTAGGTGTATATGACTTTCTTCTTTCAGACGAATCCAATCCGAGTTATATAAAAAAAATTATTATGGCTCTTTCAAGCTTTATAATGGCAGTGAATGGCTGTTATTTTTCAGTAGTCCAAAAGAAGTCCAATAAAGCGCGTCCATCCATAGTAAAAAGTGCCTCAGGGGGCTCCGGAGGGGTGAATGAAAGCCTCCTGTAGCGAACCCATGCGTTTTTTAAGAAAAATATCCATATTTAAAACGTTATAAACAGTTTTCTCTTGCTTGCGCAAACTGTCGGAAGTCCTTCCGATGGATGATGTATAGGACATCAGCGTAGCGTAAGCTCTGGTGAGAATATGCTAGTCTCGCGAGAACTAACGTTTGTTAACAGGAGCAAAGGAAGCAAAGTTTCCTTACTTTAGCAAAGGAGAACCAGTGTCCTCGTGGCTTATAACGAAATCCTCTGACATTTTCTTTACAAATCCTCGTCTAATTCGTGACCGGTGTTTTGTTTTGCTCTCTCCTCTGCACTTCTCTTCACTTCTTGTCCTTCGTCATCCGCTGGAAAGGCGTTCTATGGTGAACGCGCGTATGACAGTTAGCGGAAGCTAGAGATCAGTGATTATAACGTTTTAAATATGGATATTTTTCTTACAAAAACTCATTGATTCGCTGCAGGAGGCCTTTATTCACCCCCGGAGCCGTGTGAGGCACTTTTTATTATGGATGAATGCACTTTAGGCTTCTTTTGGACTGTTGAAAAGAAACACCCATCCACTGCCATTATTAAGCTTGGAAGAGCCAGGACGTTTTTAAATATAACTCGGATTGGATTTGTCTGAAAGGAGAAAGTCATATACACTTAGGATGCTTTGAAGGTTGTAGTTTTAATAATCAGTTTATTTGTAACGAACACACTAAATGTATTTTTACATTTGATTATTTGTTTTTCTTATTTTAATGCTTTTGTTTAGATGTAAAATGAAAACGGTAATGCATTATTTGTTTCTTTCTTATATCTGTATAGTTTTTTTGCATCTGTTCTTATTTATATTAACAAAGATAAAATAAAAATAGCTGCATAATACAGTAATTATAATTAAGAAAAGAACTGGAGGAAAAGATGCAACGTTGCTGGTGATTTTGCTTTGGAACCTTCAGAACACTTGGTGTTCTTGTTTTATTCATTTTATTTCTGAGTTTTTTATTCTATTCTATACAGCACTTTGGTCAGCTTTGGTTGTTTTTTAAATGTGCTTTAAAAATAAATATTGTTAAAAAAAAAACTTTAACTCGATTTTTCTCAAAATGAACTTTGCTGACTTATCGACTTTATAGATAACTGAAAATAAAAATAACTCATTTTTGAACATTTGCTCAATGTGACTCATTTTGCCAGCACAGGACTTGAGTGTTGATTACTGAAGAGATCTGACCGCTGATCCTGCACACACACAGTACAGTCGTTCATAAGCATCTGTCTGCAGGGTTCGGAGGACGGTGGCGTCTCTTACCCAGGACCACGAGACTGGCCTTGTCAGACAGACGGCCCTCCTCATCGTCCGGATCCTGAACTTTGCACTCATAGTCCCGTGTGTCGGCGCTGGTGACGCTCTTGAGCTGCAGGTTGGCTGTTCCTTTCTGCAGATTCACCTCTATGTTTGCCCGGCCTTTATATTTATTGTATATCTTAGTTTTATTCCCGGCAGTGAAGTAACCTACGACGTTAATCTGTATAAAAACAGTACAATCAATCACAAAACATTAACACAGCTCCATCCCTGAAAAAAAAACCAATAGAAACCATCACAGAATTTGTACTGGTTATAATGGGACTTGTGTTGGTTTTAATGGCAACTGTAATGGACCCTGTGGGTCTCTACTGGCAACTGGTCACCTTCTGTTGGTGGCTTGTTAAAATAGAATATGTCCTAAAACACACAACAGGAAACCATTTTAGTTGTTTTATTGGTTAAAAGTTGATGGTTTGTAATGGTATTTGTAGTAGAAACCATAAGAATTTCTGTGATGGTTTCTATTGTTTCATCCAGCAGGCTTGGCGGAGCCGGGATGTTTTTATAGGGGTGTCCAGTGAGGGGCCAGCAGTCTGGGGAGGCACAGAAATCTTCATTATTTCAATATAAAAATGTGATTGACTATAAAGTATTGGACTGTGCTAGTGCCTAAAACACAACTGGATACAATTAATTTCTACTAAATTGTAATTGAGATATTTGTGAATTAGATCAAGTAATGCTGAGTGAATATAACAATGTGTGTATTATTCCCCACCTCCAGGTATTTTAATAAAGGGGCTCACTAGCTTTATTGCTCAGTCAGCTTGGTTCTGGTTCTCAAACCCCCCAAAAGCTTGTTCTCCAAAATTGCATACTCATAGATGAGACATGCAGATAGTGATAAAAAGAAAAAGAAGAAGAAAAAAAGGCCGGAAGTCAACAGCACATAAATGCCAGAATGCAAAATGAGTTATTTTATGCATTGAAATGGTTTCATTTTCGTTTGTAAAAAAAATTATAAAAAAATAGCGCATGTTTTCTAGTTTACTTGTGCAATAAATAAAAAAAATAAAAACTTGCACTTATATTGTGATCTCAAGTTGCACAATCTTTTAGTACATACATTTGAGCGACGTTCTTTAATGTGATGCTATACATACGTGAAAAGTCTGAAAAGTCTCCCGTTTGATGTGGTCATGAAGAGATACGGTGGTTGCGCGCTTTAATAAATGCATTTCTTGTCAAGAAAAGGAACAAAAACTGCAGTTTTGAGTGAGGTGGCCACGCTTAGGTCAGCGGGGATATATGCACGAGCACAAGTGTTGTTAGCTGTTCTGTACTGAATGATTCCTGTGATGAATCTGTCTGTTTATTACCTCTGGTTCGTCCTTGACGTCTGGATCTGTCGTCCATGATATTGATGAGAGAGTTGCACTCGGTGTGAAAACGCAGGGTATCACCACATTATCGCCCCTCGCAATCTTATATACTTTATCTGGGATGTTTACGGTCATGCCTGACGTCATGTGAAGCCCTGTCAAACACAGAAATGTGAATAGAAAGCACTTCATGAACTATAGTTTGCATTTAACACTGCATCGTCTTGACATTGTTTAAATGTTTTAAAAAGAAGTCTCTTCTGCTCACCAAGGCTGTATTTATTTGATCAAGGAAAAACAGGAGTATTGTGAAATATATTAGTACAATTTAAAATAGCTGTGATAGATTACTTTTAGGATATTCTTTGATGAATTGAAAGAAAGCAATCAGAAATGTTTCTCGAGCAGCAGATCAGCATATTATACTGATTTCTGAAGATCATGTGACGCTGAAGACTGGAGGAATGATGCTGAAAATACAGCTGCACATCACAGAAATACATTACACTTTAACACATATTCACACAGAACATAGCTGTTTTAAATATTAAAAATATTTCAGAATTTTTACTGTATTTTTGATCAAATAAATGCAGCCCTGGTGACTTCTTTCAGAAATCTTCTTTTAAAAATCTTAATGATTCCCAACTTTAACCAGTACTGTTACCCACAGAAAAACATACCAACAATTATGACAAAAAGGTATATGAATTACTTATATTGTTACTGCTCAACTGTTTGTCTTTCACATCTCGTGAGACCTAATGGAGTTCTCAGAGCGAGATTACGGAGGTTTTTAGCTCGAGAGAAAAAATCAGTTTGCTCTCATGTTATTTCATTGCGGTGTGTGAGAAAGCCTTGAGATGATGTGGAGGTGAAGTGTTCTGCGGGGGTTTGGGGTGCTCGGTGTGTTAGGGGCGTTGGCTCAGAGCCGCCGCTGCGATCAGGTGAGATCTGAGACACGGCCTACAGCCAAAACAGCATGGTTACCATCCCATAACTGAGATTCAGGTGGAAAACTACTAGCTGTGACCTTAGTGTGAAAGTAACATTTCATTCATTCTGAACTTTATTTGTCTGCTCTATTCAGAAGCGTATGAAGTGACCCAGAGGTGAGTGTGATTGTCGTTCGGGCTCACCTACACACTGATGAGTAAACACACACACACACACACACACACACACATTCAAACAGATTAAAGCTTACTTACCAGCGCAGAGCAGACATATCTCAAATATTCCCAGCATTCCTGCCATCTCTGTGAGCGTCCAGCAGCGTCTCGGGTATGAAGGGAACTGAAGGTGTTGAAGACACTGAAACTCACTCTCTGAGCCAATGAGACGGAAATAAAGAGCCAGGAACCGCCCCGCGGTCGAGTCTCGTCTTGCCCTGTTTCTCTCGTGTGTGTCACAGTTTCTCGTTTGAGAAACCACACAGAGACGACAGTAACTGGCGTCTGTGCTCTACTTATGAGGAGGAAACCCAAATTAATCAAGGGATTACTGTATTGAGTGGAAGCAGTGTCAGGGGTTGTTTGTGGAAACTCTTGGAAACTCAATTCTCACCATTTTATTCAGTTGTAGACTGAAAAACACACACTGATTTGCATCAGATCCAGAGAAACTGGTTTGACAAGAGCAATATGATGTGGGAGTGACAACACACACACACACACACATGTTGTGTTTCCATGTTCTATGGGGACATTCCATAGGCGTAATGGTTTTTATACTGTACAAACTGTATGTGCTATTGCCCTACACCAACCCTACCCCTAAACCTACCCCTCACAGGAGACTTCTGCATTTTTACTTTCTCAAAAAAATCATTCTGTATCATTTATAAGCTTGTTTCCTCACGGGGACCTCAAAAATGTCCCCACAAGGTCAACATTTACTAGTATTACTATCCTTGTGGGGACACACACACACACACACACACTCTCTCTCTCTCTCTCTCACGCACACACACACGTACACACACACAGGAACATTAACACACCCTACAGACTCTCAACCACAAGCTGATGGTTTGATCTAGTGATAATCAGTGATGTCACGATCATGTGTGAATTATGTGACCAATCACCACTGAGCAGCTGATTTGCATTATTCATGAGCAGCGCAGCAGCGTCCTCTGCTGGCTAATTAAAAGATCGTTCCATCTGAGACATGCTGAAGATCTTAGAAATCACATTTACACACGTGTCAATATCTGTCATAGTATAGTATAGAATTAATAGTATTTTTACCTTTATATTACCTGAATCAAGATAAAGTCAGTGTTTTATTGTCGTATAACCAAATAAATGTAGTTTGTACAAGATGAATAGTTTAGACTGACACTCACAGGCTGTGTTTCTGTGGCAGTGCAGAGAGAAGCACGTCTCATGATGCATCTGTTCTGCTGCTGGATCTCAGAGAACATCAGCTGCTCAACTCAAGGCCTTTCCTTCATCCAGAGACACAGAGACACAGAGACACAGAGACACAGAGACACAGAGAGACTGACTCCAGATCAGCAGCTTAACATTGAAATATCTATTGAATTGTGATGTTTGAAGTTTCTAGGAGACAATAATTCACCTCAGACTAACTTAACTAACTTAGTATTTTTGTCTTGTTTCTAGTCAAAATATCTAAAAGTTCTTAAATCAAGATCCAGGTGAAAAAACTAAATGAAGTGAATTTTACTTAAAACAAGTAAAAATGTCTGCCGGTGGGGTGCGAAATATAATCTTGCTTTAAGAGTCATTTACTTGCCTCAGTGTCAGATATTTGACTTGTTTTAAGCAAAGTTCACTTCATTTAGTTTTCCCCTGGAAACAAGATTGAATATCTTACGTCATTTCGCTTCTCTAGTACATGCAACTTGATTTAAGAACTTTTAGATATTTTGATTAGAAACAAGACTAAAAAACTAAGATAAGCCTTTTTTTTGCGGCGCGAACCTCCCTTAAACACTACACTGATTATACGAGTATCTTAGAAAATACCATACATTTTTCTACATTTCTTGTTTAATTCAGTGTGTTACTTGTCATTTATTTGTAATGGTTTGTGAAATGTGAGTGAAAACTCTTCAGTGTATGTATTGTTTTCTGTTCTGATGATTATATGTGATTCAGTTGCATTTCATCGTTTGTTTCTCTTTATCCTGAAGCTTGCCCGTCAGAGCTGACCCGAGACTGGTTTCTGGAGTTCTGCATGCTGTGCGTCTCACTGGAGCCTCTAGAAACTCTCACCCGGCGTCGCTCTAGAGTCTGGATTGATCCGAATGAGCCGCCGTGAGTCCGGGCCGCACAGCGAAGGTCTTTGATTGGAGTTGATTGGTGATAATGGAGGCTGTAATGAGCGTGTCCTCGAGATGCATGCTGATGAAGTGCTTAACACACCTCGGGCCGGTCTCCGGGTGATGTGTGTCTGCACGGCCCTCGGTGAAGCACATTTACTTCATTAAGGAGCGTCTCTCGTCCTCATACGAGTAATGACCAGCTGGAATGTGCCAAAGCTTCGGAATGAGAGTGAAGACGACAACAGGAATGTCAATTCTTCCATTATTTTCTACTCCTACATCTCTGTCTTAAGGTTATCATTGTAAAATGAAAATGAAAGCTACATTAAAAAAAAAAAAAAGTTAACTAAAATAAAAATAAAATACGATTTCTGAAACTTAACTAAAATACATTTTCGTGACTCAAAAAATTTAATAAAATAGAAAAGTTGTTTAATTTTTCATTTTCATCTTTGTTGTGGCATGTCCTTAAACTTTCAAAATCAATATTGCCATAACATAAAATGACTTAACAAAGCTAAACTATATCGGTCAGCGCCTATAGCCTTGCATACTGCGCTGCGTCCCGAGTTCGAATCCCGGCTCGAAGACCCACCCCCCACGCTTGCCGTGTCATGACGACGCTGTGTGATTCGTTGTGAAAGCGAAACTACTTTGTTTGGTCTTCCAAAAGAGGGCACGACTAGAAATCAGTGGTTAAGTTGTGTTTACAACACTGTTCCAGAACACTTCAACCCAAATATCCAGTGTGTCAGCCAATCAGACGCCTGCTAAACTGCTAAAGGTCATTCTCTGTTGCTCTTTGTGTTGTGCAGAGACTGCGTCAGTGTTCTGGTGAATCACGGTGAATGAACATTCGCTCAGGATCAGGATCGCGTGCTGTTATTAGTTCCTATGATTTACTGAGAGGAAGAGAAATTAAAGAGACTTATTGTGTTTCAGTCACGATGAGAATCAGGAGCTCAAATCTGTCGTTGCTGAATTAGAAACATTGTAATGTGTTTTACTGCAGGTGTCACTCTTGTTAAACATCATGATGATGAAGTGTGTCTTGTTGGTGCTCCTGAAGCCTTTTTCAAGAATCTTTATCAATTAATGCATAGATATTTCTATATCTATAGCCTGAAGCATAATATAAATGAATATGTGAATTATTTGCAATATAATTATTTTCATGCACAGACAGACTAAAATATGTTTTTCTTTTGCTTTTGAAATGCAGTTTTTCTTCAGTTAATTACACCTTTTTGTCTTGTGATGCCATATATTGATGTTTTGTGTGTGTGTGTTTTATCACTAATAAATGAAGGTTTCTTTAATGCTGCAGTTTTTCAGTCTGAGTCACAGACAGGGCTATTTTTATGGTCCTCAGATGTGAGTGTTACTGAGAGCTGTGTGGCGTTTGCCCTGAAGCTGATGCACTCGAACACGCCACGCACAACATGAACATGAGGTTTAATGATGTCATTCAGACTCGAGAATCCTCTGGGTTTTTAAAATATGATGTTGAGTTGATTTGTGAATAAGGTTGTTTTTGTCTGCATCAAGCTCATAGCCATAAAACAGGCCGTTGCTGTGGAGTTCTAAATGGTTGCTAGGGTGTTCTGGATGGTTGCTAGGGTGGTGTTATGCAGTTGCTAGGGTGTTCTGGATGGTTGCTGTGTAGGTGTTTGTGGCTCTGATGTAGACTGGCTAGTGTTCACTCATGAGCACCTTGTTGACAGCTGTTAAAACACAATCACTGTTTTAGATCGACTTGCTGTAATACAATAATATAAGATTTCCATTCAAACTGAAAGCATAAATCTAGGCAAAACTGTGACATTTCATTCACTGACGCGCTTCTCTCTGCAGCGCATAGAATAATGCCTGTTTACTATTATACTGTTTACAGCAGAATTGACTTCTGTTTGCATAATTCAATCATTATTTTCTTGTTTATCACCGTAAAGCTGCTTTGAAACAATCTGTACTGTATAAAATAATTGATAATAAAGGTGACTTGAATGATCATCACAAGCACGACACACAGGTCACAACACAACACAGCAATCCATGTCAATTCACATTAAAGCAGCATACGATCAAACCAGCAGATCTGAATGAATGAAGTGTTATCGTCACTATCGATGCGCCTCAGGCTGCTTTTGATCGTGTTTTTTAGAGTAAGGCTGGTTTACTCGTCTGAATGAGGCTCAGAATGAATCGGTGCTGCTGTTTGAGGCCGAGTTAAAAGTGAAGTGTGTTCTTATTCTGTCTTAAAATACCTTATCCAACCCCATAATTCAAGACTGTGATTATGCATCACTATAAATTAGAAATGCATCTTTTTGAAATGTTCACAGAACTGCTACAGGGAAGCCACTGGTGAACAGGTTTCTTTGGAACAAAAAGGCTGATACTCATCAGTACTTTACTGAACCCTGCTAACCAGCCAAGCCTTGACCTCCAGTTTGAGCATTTTTAGTTGTTCAGGGACAGATCTGCTATCAAATAATGCCCGCTCTTGTTTATTTATTTATTTTTATGCTTTTTTGATATATGGACAGGCTAACTTCATCAGGATATATCACAGACAGGTCATGTGTGGCACAGATAAATAATGCTAAAGATTAAAATTAAACTAGGAGCACAGAACTAAACTGAACAGAAACATCCTTCATAACACGCTGTTCCGTGAAGATACGCCTCTCTCTGGAATAAACAGCATTTCTCTGGCTTCATCATTCACGGAGCGTCGCTGCAGATTCAAGAGAGACTCATCCATAGTGACAGAGACTCCAGGGCACAGTCACAGAGACAGAGAGCGCTGATGAACAGCTTGTTCAGCTCTCGTTTAAACTGCAGTATCTGCTCATTCTGTGTGTTTGCTGAGTGATGATTGTGTGCTGAAGGGCCTGGAAACAACATTTCAGAACCAACAAGCCATGAAAGCAGACTTCAGAAAGCTCCTTATAAAGAACGACTCGCTGTAGCTGGTGTGGACTGAAGCAGGAGGCGCTTCTCTGAATATAAACACACGGCTGAGAACCAGAGAATGTGCTCTTTCATTTCTTTGGTCCTTTTTTCACTTAATTTCTTCACATGTACAGTGTCAC